AAGAGCGGCTCCCAGCGCCCACCTCTCAGCAATCAGCTCCCAAACCCGGGGTGGCAAGGGAGAAAGGCAGGCGCCCGGGGGGAGCTTTTCCCATGTCACGCTCCTGTGCTTGGTGCTGCCCGGGCTGGGACGGGGTTGGGCTGGGCTGGGCTGGGACTTGTGGACGGGGGTGGGGAGGAGTGGGGTAGGAGGGAAGGTCCGATTTAAAATTACATTCAATAAACAATAAAAAGGAGCGAGGAGGCGGGGGCTGCGCCGCGCGTGCGGGGCTAGGTGACCTCTGCCTGTGTCTGGATTTTGATTCCATTGTGTCTAAGCGTCCTGTATGTCTGCTGAAATGAAAGGAATGTCGTAAACTCTAATATCAGGCTACCTCCGCTTGTAAAGTCAGCCTCCCCCCCCAGCCTGCCCACCCTAAAGTTGTGCCTGCTATTTTTCTGTGCAGATAACCCCGCTGCGAACTGGCTCCACGCGAGATCCACCCGAAAAAAGCGATGTCCTTACACCAAGCACCAAACGCTGGAACTGGAAAAGGAGTTTTTGTTCAATATGTATCTCACTAGGGACCGCAGATACGAAGTGGCGAGGCTGCTCAATTTAACTGAGAGACAAGTGAAAATCTGGTTTCAGAACAGGAGGATGAAAATGAAGAAAATCAACAAAGACCGAGCAAAGGATGAATGATGAGGATGACACCCAGGTTCATTGAAGGGCGGGGTGGGGGGGAAATCCTCCCCTCGATCCCCACTACCCAGTGCAACTGTTTGGGCCTCATGTTTGTTATGGCAATTTCTGATCCTTAGTGTACCTTGTAACAGTAGCATGGAGATGTCGCTTTGCCAGTGCTATTCAGGAGGTACTGTAACACTTTTTCATTTTATAATAGGAAAGCAAAAAAAGCAAAAAAAGGAAAAAAAAAAAAAGAAAAAAAAGGGGGCATTATTGAGGAAGGCTGTTGGTTGGCTTGTATAAATCTACCTGTTTCTTCACGTACGAAAAAAATCAAAAAACAAAAAAACTACCTTTTCATAATGCACAACTATTTACGGACTGTATATTTTAGCCTACGTAGTTAATTTTATTTGCTCTTTGCGCGGCAGAGAGAGGTCTGCTATGATACTTGAACACTGTGTTTTATTGTGGTAATTATGTTTGTGACTCAATTTATGTGCTTGGGTGCTGTACCAGATGTGATTGTGTAAGCTAGAATTCAATTTGAACTCAGGTTGTTTATGATAAAAAAGTTGCATAGAGTATAGCTCTGTAGTGTAATAAGTCTTTTATGTATAATTAGACAGTTAACCTTTGATTGTAAGCAAAATACATATATCCCAATTTAAACACAAAAAAGAAGAAAAAAAGTCTGTCCGGGATGTCTAGGAATTACGGTTCTCAAACTCGTTCCAAGCAAGTCATTTTAGTATGCACAGTTGATATATATATAGTACTGTCTTTGTCAGTTGTATATATAATCTATATATTAAAGAAAAAGTAAATAAACGGACTAGCTTAAATATTGTTTTTGCACCAGTGAGCAGTTATCAGATATCGGAGCTATACATATATGTGAAAAGGGTAACTACCTATGGTTTACGTTTTAATTTTAATCAAATAATTTGATGCTTATTGTAATGGAGTTTAATTTTATTGATAATAAATTATACACAATAAAAACCTACATTGGGTTATTGTAGATTTGTATCGATGATAAAAATTTGGGAAGTTATGTTTATGCAGAACATACACTGTATATTTTGCAATAGTTACCTCATGGCCTACTGACCAAATTGTTGTGTTGAAATGATATTTAACTTTTTGCCAAATAAAATATATTGATTCTTTTATATTTTGTGATGTTTTAAGATTCTTAAGGTGGTGCTAGTAGCCAGACTATATAGCCCAGTTTGAATGGGCCGCTTAGGAGAGCTGTAGTGGGGGATAGGCTCTTTATCTGCTCTGGGGTAAAATTAGGCACAGTTATAGCAGAACCAAACCTATGCAAACGAAGGAAGATCTTCTCTTTGCTTAACCGAGAGACCGCGGGCAAAAAAAGCACCCAGATATTTTTATGGAACCCAGTCCTTAGAAAACATAGGAAATAAGCCATCTCAAATAGTGAGGGGCCATGGTCTGCAGTTAGCACGTTTCAATGAAGATTTTAAAAGAGCAGGACCAAAATCCTGAAGATATATTCCAGGGACAACAATGTAAATGAATTAAATAGTCTTAATTTTAAATTCCAGAACTAATATAACATGCAAAGCCTCTCCTTTAAAAAAAAAAAGCCTTTCAAGCATTTTTTTTTTACCCCTTGTCCTATATTGCATTGGTAATTTTGTTCTCTAAAATGCTTTATGCCAAGTAAAAATAACAGTTGCCTTTTATTGTCTCCTAAGATTGAGACGGGAAAAAAAGCTTACGGATAATTATAATGTATTAGATCACTGCTGGTCGCTGGTTTCATCCAGGAGAAGATAGGCTACTAAGCAGTGTGCCCCAGCAAATTCATTTTTTAAAAAGAGGGGAAAACATTTCTTTCGGGTGAAAGACCTCCCCCCCACTCCACCCCAGAGCCGAGTAATCCAAGAAAAAAGCGAAGTCTCTGAGCTGCGTTTGGTTATCCCTGTTTTGGGCGGACATTTTGCCGCTTAGAGGCTAGCCTCCAAAATACGAGGCATACAATGCCCTTCTCCTCCAAACCAATATTTGCAAACACGAAGAAGAAATACCTTGTTTGGGAATAGATACATATTTTAGAAAGACAAAAATAAAAAAAGACAGGACACTCGTAGTCACAAGTCTTGGCATACGATGTTGTTAGGAAAATTCAGAGCCGTACAGTGCAATAAAAGAAAATGACCGCTATAACCATTTATGGGGTGTAAAACGCTACAGGGCTCAAGACAAAACTTAGGGAGCTCGCAAGAAGTTTACAGATGTGCAAAAGAGCGGGGAGGGGGGGATCTTTCAGCTTCACCTTTTTTTTTTTTTTCTTGTTAAAGAAATCCCTGGTAAGTTTTGATGTGTTAGAATTAGTAAAAGGGAAATAGTTCTGGTGCCCACACACTCCAAAAAGCCCCTAATTGATCCCTGTTCCAGGGGTTGGGGATATTCGGACGCCCTCTGTTGTTGCAGACAGAGGAAACTTCAAAGAATCAGCATTAAGAGTGTGTAATAAATGACGGGTCTGCAAACTGTCTGGAATTCGACTCTTAATGAGTTTACAACTGTCCAGCCACAATTAAGATTTTCTACAAAAGCCTTTTCATTTGTTTTGTCTGGCTGTTTCAGATAAAGCTGGTGAGCGGAAATAGCTACCTTTTATTGGCCTTCCTCTTCTGAAATCTAGGCTCGAAGGTGAACGTTTATCTTTAATGGATTTGCAAGGGGAACGTTTTGTGTAATTACGGCTGCTTCGCCGAGCAGCGGCGGCTGCAAACTTCACTGTCCCCGTGTCACTTATGATTTGCAATGTCCCAAACGGAGCAGCAGATGGCAGTATGATTCCATGAAAACAGCCGCCGATCCGCCATGAAGCGCCCTTCCAGAGCCCCTGAAAGCTTCTAAAATGTCGACTTTATAGGAGTATAACTGGATTTGAAACAACTAATTTGATCTTAAAAAAGGCCAATAGATTATGCGCAGGGCACGGCATGAGTGATGCCCCAGTGAAAAAGAATACAGCTAGTATCAGAGTGGCCCTGTGACCCAGCTTAAGTACAGTCCCTGGAAAGGTAAACTTTACTCTCAATGTTTAATGTGCTGTTTATTTCTCACTTCCAAAGCCCCTTAGTTAACAGAAGCTGATGAAGCCCTGATGCACTAGTACATTCCCATGTCACCTTTCCCCTTTAAAATATATATATATATTAGGCATTATACAGTTACACCTATAAACCGAGTGTTTTGATCTCGGTCGGGGCTTTGCTAGATTATTTTATTTGATATTTGAAGAAGCGGGAGTTAGCACAATATTATCTAAGGTTTCACAGGGAGGGTCTGTCCATTTTGCGATTTGCTGTGGCCTTTGTATGGGGAGAGGACACTGAGTCAGATCATTCCCAGGGAGCCTCTTCTTGGTTTAGCAGCAGACACGGCCCCGTGGAAGGTCCCTTCAAGAAGCCGCGATGGTCCATACCTTCCTTTGAAAACGACGGTATTTACCAACAACTGCGATTCTTCAATGGCAGCCTTTGATACAGAAGTAGATCAGAAAAGCACGGCTTGTGCCCCCCTCAGTCCAAGTCTGTGGGACACGGGGTCATTATATTACAGAGATGCTGATCTGCATGCAGACACCGCGAGCTTGAGGTGGCTCTAAAACATCCTTCTGAAATCCCCCCCTATCTCTTATTTCGATCCCCCCCGGCTTTTTCCCCCTATTTTTCCGTTGTGTTTTTGTTGCTTTCCTGCTTCGCCCTGAGCGAGCGGAGGAGGGTGATGCTTTTCGGAACCGGTGGTCAAAGCGAGAGAAATTGCAATCGGAAAGAAAATAAAAAGGAGGGAAAAGAAAACACAGAACGCAGTCTGAAATATTAATGTTACTTCTCTCCAGTTAAAGCAAACCAAGTAAATCATTCGCGCCATAGGACTTAACCACTTTGTGTATCTTTGATTTATATTTCTTTAAACCGAATGCCATTTCTTACAGCCAAACTTCAGGAGCAACGAGGGAGGAGAGCTCCTTGTAATGCAACCCCCCCCCCCCCCCC